TCAACTTCTCCTCTTAATTGTCTTCATTATGTTTTTAAACACTAAAATTTGTTAAATGAGCATATCTGTAATTATAAATTATATTATATAATACCTATTTTTTAAGTCATCTGTATTATATTCAACTCCACAAAACCGTACATAACATTCTTTATACATCCATATAGTCAAAGGTTAAATATCTGATACTATTATCCATTATCTAATATCAAATTTCCTTTTTTCTATTGTCATAATATTTTCTAAACACTTTTAAGCAACAAAATTCACATCCTTAGCTCCAAAAGTATATGCAAGTATTTCTTCTAATTCTTTAAAATATTTGACTCCTCTTCCTCTAGACAATCCACAAGGTTTTGTGACCCAAATATTATCACCTTTAGAAATTTTAAATTAAGGATCAACAATAGATAAATTTTCTAATAATTATTTAACCTATTCCATAATATTTGGATTATTAAATTAAACAATTTCTTATTTTGGTTCTGGTTTATTGTATAAAATTTACCATTATTAAGGAGTACATACAGGATAATCATCAGCAGTCTAAATATAAATTAATTTATACAATTCTATTGATTTTATTTTAAATTGGAATTAATTTATTATTTAATATTTATATTGCAATAAGTATCTTTTCTTCATCCTTAGGATTTTTCTTAAGATAATTTTCAGCAAATGTAAATTTATATTCCTCCAAAAAATCTTCAAAATCTCCTTCATCACTTAAATCATAACATCTAGGAAAGAATGTATTAGGGTCTACTCCACCTAAAATATAACAACTTTTTAATGATCTAGCCAATCCAAACTTTGTTGTTAATAGTTTTGTACTAGCAAATCTACTAACTACTTATTCAGGAATAGGTTTATGTAAAAATTTCTTTAAATAACAAAATTTGAAATCATAAACTTATGTATAAACATCATCTATTTCAACCCAACCTAATAAAAATAGATAATTAAATACTATACCTAATGAATTAAATAGAGTTTTCATATCATCAAAATATGATCCTTATATTACATATAAATATTAATTTTGATTTAAATTATGTTTTTTCCGCAATTTTTCAATTTCTTCTTTAACTTGAGCTTCAGACAATGGTTATATTTAAGCCAATATTTTTTCAGTTTCCTCCTCTTTTTTCCTTTATTCTTCACTTTAATCATCTAAATCCAAATATAACTTCTAAAATTCTTTATCATTTTATGCTTTAGTTAATACACTTCTTATATCAACTTATGTATATTTTACAATATTTACTTCCCATTGATTTAAGTAAAGGTTATCTATTTATTTAAAACATAGATCTAGTAATAAATCGACAACTTAATTCTAATTGTGCAGCAATTTTAGATAACTATTCTTCTAAATTTTTCTTTTGATTGTTATTTGGTTAGACTGTTTTTTTTAATTTAGGATCAAATTTGCAATAATATTATGGTTTACCCATTTGGGTAATTAATGTGGATATCCTATATCTAAAACAAATTGAAATTCTGTCAAAGACATTAACTTCTGTTTAGATAGTCTATTTGATTTCTTGTTTTTTTGTTCTCTTTTCAGACAATTTAGGCTTACTTACCTATGACCAATCAATCTAAAAATTTTCAAGTTCTGATTATTACTACATTAATTTATGAATTTAACATTTGAAGCAGTTCGAAAAATTGTTCAACAAGGATAGAATGTTATAGATTTGAAATAGAAGATCGATTGCAATTATACTTTATAAATTGTAGAGAACTATTTTCCTCAATCATCCAAAGATAAATTGGATTAATTGTTATGTTTCCGCGTTTCTGATGGCTATGCTAAAATGAAAGCTTTATTTTTTCGAACTCCAAATCCTGACTTTGTACAATTAAGAGAAACAGAACCCTTAACTAAATATCCATTAATAAAAGTCACAAGTTTTAGAATTTTGGGAAAACCTTAGGAGGGCGATGATTTTCCAATATTAATTTTAGAATTTGAAAGACTTTAAATTCTTGAAAAAATAATTGGCTAACCAATGTCCTATAAATCATATGCTGCTAATGGTTACTAAAATCCTAATGGAGCTACTTCATTAGATGACTACGAATTTGCTGGGATTGACGATTTATTGTTTTCAAATCATAAATCCTAATCGATTGGATAGATTCCTCCAAAAAATACAATATAACAGAACATATAAGATATACCAAATAAGTAAGAAGAAAAACCTAAACAAGGAGTAATACTATTATGTTAAATTATAGATTAAAATTTCATTAAGTAAAACTAAATTTTAAAAACAATAACAAGTAGATCCACCATAGACAGAATTAGTTTAATAATAATAATAGTAAAAGCCATAAGTTTAGAAGTAATAGTATGAATAGATTGCCCAAAATTAGCAATTCTAATAGATATAATAAACTAAAAATAACCAGGATTAATTAAATTAAAAAAAATAATAACTAAGAGTATAAATACAACAATAATAATAATAATAATAATAATAATAACAATAATAATAATAATAATAATAATAATAATAATAACAATAGAATAATTAATTTAATAACAAAATACCTAATTAAAAAAATAATAAAAATAATCCTTAGATTGATGTAAATATTTATTATTTAATAATAGTTTTTCCCTCTTTATTAAATTAATCCTAGTTTTTAATAAGCATTTAGAGGTAGAGTTGTTAAAGTTAATGAAATAAAAAGCTATACTACAAAAAATTAAAAAGATGGAAAAATGTTTGGAATTTATGTTATTGATGAAGAAAATCTTATCTCTGCTATGTTTTTTGATTAAGCAGCTGAAAAATTTCATGATTATATAGTTTAAGGAAAGTGTTACATTTTTTCAGGTGTTTAAGTAAAACCAGCCAAAAATTTAGAATAACTACAAAAGATTGGGAGTCTTCCCTTTGATTATACTTTTGATTAAAATTCTTAAATAATTGAAATTGATGAAGTCCCTGGAATTCCTTTAAATATCTTTAACTTTGTTAAACTTAATTCAATTACCCAATAAAAAGTTGGATCAATATAAGATGTAGTAGCTGTAATAAAATCAACTAGTGGTGTAAAAGAATTTTAAGCAAAAAATAAAGATGAGAAATCAACTAGAATTTAATTAGGAGTTTATGATGATTCATTATAAGAAATAGAAATAACACTATATGGAAATTTAGCTTAACAATACCCATTTTAAATTGGAGAAATTTATATGTTCAAAAGTTTAAAGATAAATGAATATTAAGGAAGAAAAAGTTTATAAAATAATTATTTGACTTCTATCCATTTTGATAAAAATTAAAAAGAAGTCAAAGAATTATAAAATTGGTTATAGAATTTTGATGGAAAATTAGCTGAACCTGTATCTAAGATTAAATTAATATCTGAATTAATAAATGAATCAAATAAATGTGAATTAGATTAGAATTTAAAAATATACTCAGATGTTAGAGCTTAATTAGTATTAATTAAAAATTCAGGTACTCTTTATTATTAATCTTGTACAAATTGTCTTAAAAAAGTTACAACAGAATTAGATTCATTTTATTGTTCATCGTGCAATTTGACAATGAAAGAACCTAAGTTTAGATATATTCTTAATTGCAAAATAGCTGACTCTAGTGGTAACATCTGGGTTAGTGTAGGTGATTAATAAGCTAATTAGATAATTGATATTCCTGCTAATCTACTTAAATAATTAACAGAAGAAGGTAAAGAAAAAGAAAAGAATGATGCATTAAGTAAATCAGCATACAAAGAGTTTAGATTTAAATTAACATCTAAATTGGAAGAATTTAATGATGTAAAAAGAGTAAAACATGCTGTATAATCTATTACTCCAATTTCAAATGCTGATACATAAGCTATTTTAAACCAAATAGAATTTTATATGAAGAATATTTGATTTATATTTTAAGTATAACTCAAATTTATTAATTATTAATCACAATTATCTAAATATTTATATATATCTTAGAAAAAGAGTATTATATTTAACTGATCTTAATTATAAGGAAAAAGTAAATAATATATATTTGATTTTCTATTAAGATTAATAATAGAATTCTGTATTACTATCATACTTCTAATGGATATATTTCCAATTAAATATGATAATCATCAATCATTTATAATCCAGATTTATATATTTATAAGATATGAATCTTGTTAAAAAAATATTATTAATAATATTATGATTCTTGGATATTAATCAATATGCTTAATAAGCTGCAACAGCTCCTGATATAAGACCTCCAAGGCCTATGACTCCATCGTTAAGGTTGATTTTTAATACTTTTGGGAAAAACTCTGAACCTTAGCCAGCTGGCATTAAATCTCCAAATATCTTTATCAAGTTCAAATAAAGAACTCTATTTTGTTGTTATTTATTATTTATCTATTGTTGAGCACTCTGATTAGTTTTATTTTGTTAGATATATTATAAGTTGACTATCAATTATCTTACAGTGTCAATCAAGTTTGTAATAATTGCAATAAACCAAAATGTCATTGCTTTTTTTTACAATGGCTTTGGATCACTGGTGGTAAACTTGATTGATGATAATACACTCAAGTTATCATAGACCCTAATACATTAAGATATTTGATTACCAATATAATAAAAACCAAATTCTTGTTAAAATATTTAATCCCCTAGCAATCTACTCTTGAGGAGTCTTGCAATTTTATCCAACTTTATCAATAATAGTTTATAATTCATTCAAAGATTTAGCTAATCTGAATAATTTTCTGGCATCTCTTGTGCTTTCTATATAATGATAAACAAATCAAGTACAAAATAAATTCTTAAATTGATTAGACAATTATTCATTTCCTCTGTTTACTTTGAGATGCCACATTAAAAATCTGGATCCATATTACATGACTTTGCATATCTTATCTCTACCTTCAGTCTTATTGAACCATTTAACTGTTGAATCAAGTGTTTGCATATTTTTAGAAAAAAAATTTAATTACTCATAAATACTTAAAGTGCGTATTTGCCATATATTTTATATAAATCTTGATAATGCATTTACAATTCAGATATCCTTTTGTTTAATAAAAAATAATATACAAATATAAAGTAATCGATTTATTATAATATGTAGATTATAGTAATTAAAATAATGATTCTATAGATTATTTACATAAATCTGATANTAAGTATAACTCAAATTTATTAATTATTAATCACAATTATCTAAATATTTATATATATCTTAGAAAAAGAGTATTATATTTAACTGATCTTAATTATAAGGAAAAAGTAAATAATATATATTTGATTTTCTATTAAGATTAATAATAGAATTCTGTATTACTATCATACTTCTAATGGATATATTTCCAATTAAATATGATAATCATCAATCATTTATAATCCAGATTTATATATTTATAAGATATGAATCTTGTTAAAAAAATATTATTAATAATATTATGATTCTTGGATATTAATCAATATGCTTAATAAGCTGCAACAGCTCCTGATATAAGACCTCCAAGGCCTATGACTCCATCGTTAAGGTTGATTTTTAATACTTTTGGGAAAAACTCTGAACCTTAGCCAGCTGGCATTAAATCTCCAAATATCTTTATCAAGTTCAAATAAAGAACTCTATTTTGTTGTTATTTATTATTTATCTATTGTTGAGCACTCTGATTAGTTTTATTTTGTTAGATATATTATAAGTTGACTATCAATTATCTTACAGTGTCAATCAAGTTTGTAATAATTGCAATAAACCAAAATGTCATTGCTTTTTTTTACAATGGCTTTGGATCACTGGTGGTAAACTTGATTGATGATAATACACTCAAGTTATCATAGACCCTAATACATTAAGATATTTGATTACCAATATAATAAAAACCAAATTCTTGTTAAAATATTTAATCCCCTAGCAATCTACTCTTGAGGAGTCTTGCAATTTTATCCAACTTTATCAATAATAGTTTATAATTCATTCAAAGATTTAGCTAATCTGAATAATTTTCTGGCATCTCTTGTGCTTTCTATATAATGATAAACAAATCAAGTACAAAATAAATTCTTAAATTGATTAGACAATTATTCATTTCCTCTGTTTACTTTGAGATGCCACATTAAAAATCTGGATCCATATTACATGACTTTGCATATCTTATCTCTACCTTCAGTCTTATTGAACCATTTAACTGTTGAATCAAGTGTTTGCATATTTTTAGAAAAAAAATTTAATTACTCATAAATACTTAAAGTGCGTATTTGCCATATATTTTATATAAATCTTGATAATGCATTTACAATTCAGATATCCTTTTGTTTAATAAAAAATAATATACAAATATAAAGTAATCGATTTATTATAATATGTAGATTATAGTAATTAAAATAATGATTCTATAGATTATTTACATAAATCTGATATTATTTTATAAACATTCTATATTTGTGTTTAATTTTAACAAATTTAACATTAATTCAATTTTTTTTTAAATGAATTATAGCATTTTTATGGTTCTTTATCTAAAGTTTAATTTTCATTTTACAAATAGAAGGTTTATTGATATTCAATGAAACTCATAGTGTCTAATTATATCATGAAATTGATGAAGATATGAATTCAAAATTTCACTCTACTCTCATAATGATAGCAATATATAAGGCAATTTTTATTTTGTTTATTCCTTACCATGCTTATCAATTTCATTTTCTTCAGTATTGTATTTCATTTTTTATAATAAATAGTTAATTAATTGGATCAGAAACTTAAGAATAATTAGTACAATATTCTCTATAAGTTGTTCTGTTGGTGCAATTTTGAATAAATGCTTATTGAAATATACAATCAGAAATTAATGATTAATTAGATTTTTGTGGATTGTTAATTATGTTTACAATGATTCCTAATCAAGAAATTATTTAACATTCAGGTTTTTTTATATGGTTTGTAGTGGTATCTAAACAATCATAATACCAATATATTTAAAGGAATTTTTTCCATAAAATATAGTAATGTGAGGAGTCTTTGTCGAAGGAGAATTGCTTTTTAAAATTTTCATGAGTTTATTTAAAATAGATAGTGATTTAAGTGGAAAGAACTCTCATTATTAATAGATTGTATTTGCAATTCCAGTAATCGTATTCCTATTCAGATACATAGTAATGACAATTTTATATAAAAAGGGTAGTACAATATCATATTAATTAAAAATAAGCCCAAAAAGGCTAACATAGTGTTCTTAATTATTTACTTGAATTTCAGATGGAGATTCAACTTTAAAAAGATTATTATTTAATATTAATATTAAATTATTATATCAATAATTTATTAGATTTAAATGAATTTATTTGTTATACCTGTAATTCCTTTACTTTAATTTTAGGAATAGTATAATTACACCTGTTTATATATTTATCTTTTGTTTAAAGAAGATGGGGTTAATGAATAAAATTTTTATGAGAATTATTTTCTATGATAATTTGTCAAGTATTAATAATTGGATATAGTTATACCGAAGTGTTGACAGGAGTAATAATAAAGTTTATAACATAATTTTACATGCTTGGCAATTTCTTGAACTTCATATGCATGGCAATTAGTAGTATTATATATATATTCCTTTTAATTTCTAAGTAGATTAGAAATTAGAGGATCTTTTGTTGTTTGTGTTTGCAATATTAAAAATAACTAACATATTTATTTTTAAATATTTGTACAAGAGAATGAGATAGATAAAGTATATGATATAGAAGATAAATGTAAGTAGTGATTCAATTAAATTATAAATGAAAATAAATCTTATATATATATATTTATATATATAATCAATTTAGATAATAAGATAGTATTTCAATGAGTTAATCTTTTTTGACTGGTTTTTGAATATGATAACTCATTCCACTTTTATAACAAATATTTCTAGTTTCTGTATCAGAAAATGCAGTGCAAGCTATAACAATTATATTAGAATATTTGGATTTAATTCTTATTGTTGTTTGAATTCCATCTAAGATTGGCATATTAATATCCATAAAGATCATACGATATTATTAAGATCTGCATTTATTACATTTAGCTATATTATATATTTATTATAAATTACTTTTCTTTTAATTACTAAATATAAGATTGACACATTCTTCTCCATTGAATACAGAATCACTTGTATAACCCATTTAATCTAGCATCATTGATAAAGCCATAATATTTATTTATTCATCATCAACTATCAAAATTTAGGGACAATTGCATTTCTAATTATTTGTAAAATTCTCATTCAAATGTTTAGTTCTATTTTCAAATTCTTATTCATTTGTTTCTTAATTAATACTAAAAGATTCAATTCTCCTTTCAGATGTAATTGCAGCAAGAAATAACTCTCTAGCTATTTTAGATGGAGGTTTACACAATTTAAGTGATAATTCTTTACTTAATCCTCTTTCTGATTTAATATCTTTGATTCCTAAAATCTAAGAGAATTTTTATCTCATTGGTTATGCATTTACTCTACTTATTTATGATTCCATTGTATCAATCTATATCTTCTTACGAATTCGAATAATAGGTGTAGGATTACTTTATTAATAAACAGGACTATATGATTAATTTCTAGCCATGAACCAAGCATGAAATCCTTATTAATACTTTGACTCAAATCTTAATCCTCCTCCCTTATCATATCTAGTTTAACTTAATACTTCAGCAATCTTATTTGATATATATAATCCCAATCCAAAACCCACTGTATTTTATGAGATTCTAACTGATTATGGTATACCTGAAGATAAAAGTTAATGCAATCTTTCTGCTTCTTCTTATTTCATTCCTATTCCTGTATCAATTACATGAAATATGACACACAATTATTTGTTATTTATTACTGCTCCAACTTATATTTTAATTTAACCAGAAAAAGTGAATTTTTAAGCATTTGATATTAAATTGATTAAAATTTATCTAATTCTATTTCTATCACTAACTAAATCATAATTAAGTAGATTATTTTGAAATTGAATATTAAGATGTTTCTAATTTATTTAATATTTAAATAAATCAACAACTTCACTTATTAATTATGGAATATTAAAATTACTTACTTCTACATTAAATTATTTACTTAAAATTAAATTATAATCCATTATATCACTAATTAAACTATGCATTATCCTACCACAATGTAAAATAGGTAGAAAATACTTTTCTGATACTATTTTAGGTACATTTTCATGACATTAAGCCACTTATGCTAAAGCTAATATATAATTTAATGAAGTATTTAATTCATGACTAAAACTCTTAAATAATTGTTTCATTGTAGTTTGTTAATGTTTTTTCTTAATATAATGAGCATAATCTTTCATTGACTAAAAAAGTATATTATAAATTATTTTATCACTTCTACCCTTTAAAATAAGAATTTAAAAATAAAAATCCTCAAAACCTTATAATACATATACATCTAATTAATGTGGTAGATTTATATTTTATTTAATGTTTTCCAATAATTCCTTTAAGGTTGTTAATGTTAAAGAATCTCTGAAATCTTGGATTGATTATAATTTGATATTACATTATTCTTGGAGTAGTTATTTAGTTTATTTATCAATTAGAATTGGAGATTGCATAATTAAATCATTTATTGATTTATCCTTAATTAAATGAGATGATTTTTTATTCTAATAAATTATTTCAAACTATTCATTTAATAATATTACACCAGCTATTCCATTTGTATTATCATAAATTTTTTCATGTTCTAGATGAGACTTCAAATTACATGTTTCCTCAATCATTGTTGTATTGTCCTGTGTAGATTTGGGTTCTCCTTCTGGGTTATAGTTTTTGGCTAGAAAGAGTAAAGTTACTATAAGGAATTGAATAACTGGCTAACCATTCTAAATGTCTTGTAAACTATAATACAACATCAATAAAAGGAGATGTAGCAATTTTATCATCATAAAATACCTATTCATAAATATCTCTTTGTTGTTCTATTAATATATTACTATTGGCAAAATAAATGTTATGAATGAATATTTATCATAGTTCTCCAAGATTTCTAGATATATATTATTTTTAATACATATTATGTTGAGTGAGATAATCATAATTGGAGAAAAAAGCACACAATATTTTATTTTTACCTTGCAGTATGATAATAACAAAAATACTATCAGTATTAAAAACTCAATTATCGATAACCACAACTTTCAAAATTATATATGGAAGATTACTCAAAGTCGAAAGAATAAAAAGCATTGCATAGCCATGAACAACAAAGCAAGATTTCACATAACATATTTTATTAAAATTATTTAATTTATTTATATATCTACAATATATATATACAAGTTTGTTACTTAATTTTAAATACATATATTATAATTTAATCATTAATAATCAAATATATATAGATATTTTAATCAAAATTAACTCTCTTAACATTAATCTATAATTTATTTATTTCTAGAAGGATGCTTATTTGGAATCAAATTCAGTATATTTTAATAATATGGTATTTTATTATTTTCTTTTGAAATTCTATGTATGTATTCATCATCACAAACCTCAATGTCATCCTCACTTGAACTAGTTACATGTAGATCTTCCTTACCAAGTCTAGATGATAGGATTTCACAAGAACTTTGTTCTCTCAATTCCAATATTGTTCTTAAAGATGGCAAAATTTTAGGTTTTTCATTTTATCCATTTTATTTTTATCTTTAATTTGTTAACCATTAATGAGCTAAAGCATTATTCAAAGTAATCCTATTCTAAAAATCTGGATCTAATAATCCACATAATAATTCAATTAAAGAAAAAGAATACTCTTATTATTATTCTTATTTTATTGATTTTAACCATTGATAATCAACTTTGAAATTATCTAAAGATTTTATAAATGACTATTATGATTTATTTACATTTGTATGAAAAGTCAAATAATATAATAATACTCCAATTTGATATCCATCAATATTTTAAAATTCAGGTTTAATTTATAAATTGTTAAATTCAGGTGGTATCCATTATTTAGGTACTCTCTTATTTAACCAAGTTAAATTATATTGATTTGCATCTCGATAAGCAAAATTAAATAAAGTAATTTTCAATTGTTAACCTTATTATGGACCTGTAGCTCTATGTAAAACTATATTGCTAGGTAAAATAGCACCATGATATAGATTATTCTAATGCAAAAAACGAACCACTTTAATAATCTAAAAAATAATTTGTGCTATCTATGAAGCTGTCAATTTAAAACCTTATTATAGTAATTTATATAATGTATCACCTACCCAATAATCATATAATATATAAAGTATATCACCATCTTCAAATAAAGCATGAAATTAGTGTAATCCATTTTATTTAAAGCACATTAAGATATTTATTTCATTCATCAAAGCTTCATATAATTATTCACTTAAACTTGATAATCTTATTAGTTAAACTGTATAAACACGATCTTTAATACATATAAATAGTTACTGTTTTTATTCTTTACACAAGCATAATGATTTTATATAGAAAGTTTTTCTTGAATTGTGTATTTATTGGAAAAATTTTATAGTTTGCAAAATCTCTTCAATTGTTTCTCCCACTAGAAATAAATAATTAAGAATTATACATTCAGTTACTAGACATATGACTCATAAAATAAGAATAAATTGCCTTAACTATTTAACAATTATACTCCTTATGCTGTAAATTCCTTATATTAGATTATTTTCTTATTCATTATACAAGATGATAAAACCAAGTATTCCTAATTGTCTCCAATAAGCATATTAGGATATAGTGTAAATTACATTTAAGTAAATTTATTTATTTTTGTATCAAATGTGTACAAGCTTGATTTTAGTAATTGATCACAATCTTGAAGTTTGCTTAATTAAGTTGCTTAAATTTTCTTCATATTTGATTGTTATAGCTAATATTTGGGTATTTGATCTAAGAGATTGAGGATCCATTCAATGTTAGTAGGTTTTTAATTTTTTATATAGCTAACTCTCTTTTTTGTTTATTTCATATTGCATATCCCCCACAATAGATAATCAGTTATATTTTTATTATATCACATGTCCCTTAATTCACAATTCCCAAAGCAAGTCCCATTCTTACCTGGTCATGTCTTCTCTGATCCCTTCAAAGAAAATCATCATAAAACTCAGCAATTTTCACACATCAATGGCACTGTACAAGAGAAAACTAACTTCATCCACGAAGAATTTGATCCAAACCTAATGGATTCAATGAAATTCAATGCTCCTCCAAATCTAACTTATGGAAGTAGACAACCACCAGAAAATGATTACATTCCTCGCATCTAACCACCATGGTTGAAATATGATCGAGCTGTTTTACGTTTCTATGGTTACTTCCAAGAATCTGTTGTAGAAAATCCTAACGAGAACTTTAGAATTAGAAAAGTCATCATTTATTACTATTTATCAGATGGAACAATACATGTGACAGAAGTACATTATATTAATAATTAATTTATAGCCAAGAGTACCTAATGCTGGAATCCCTTAGGGTCTATTTATCAAAAGATAGAAGATAACTAAAAAATTGGGTAAACAAGATTTCTACAAATGGGAGGATTTTCAATTATGCACTAATATCAATTTTTATGAAAGAGTATATATTCAAAATTTTATTTATCTAGGTCTTTAGAATTTAAGATTGTGATACATTCACTAGAGAATTTTATGAATATATGGGTAAACCATTGAATTTACCAGAATAAATGCCAAGAGATAATTTTGAAAACATAAGAGAAACTAAAGAGCTTAAAATTAATCCACCTGATACCAAAGAATATAAAGAATATTTTGAAGTTAAATTAGGAGGAGGACATCCTAATGGAGGACTTAATAAATATTTATAAAATGATAGAAAAGTCTTATCTTTTGATATTATATGGGATGATGCATCTATTGAAGGCTAATTAAATTATTACACATTAAACTTTTATTTGGCTGATGATACATGTGAAGTCAAAGAAGTTAGAAAATAGAATTCAGGAAAAGATCCTTATCCATTGATGTTGAGAAGACAAAAGATTCCTAAGGCTCCCATTCTTACTCATTATCCAGGAATGACTCTTAAAAAAGAAGAATTTTATAGTCCTCCTGATCTTATTTGTGGGAACACAGTTAAGATTTATGGTAGAGAATGCTTTATTTATGGATGTGATGATTTCACTAAAGAATATTATTTAAATGTATTAGGAATCCAATAAAAGTAAAATATTTAATATTTATATAAGACCTGCCACATTAAAATAAGAGAGAGGCAAAAAGTTTTATCAACCTGTTCCTCCATATAATGGTTATGGATATGAAGAGGATTCTTTAGGATCTGTCTATTCTTTATAGCCTAAACCACCTAAGAAGGATGTCAGAAAGAATTTCACTTAAGATTAATTCATCCTTAGATTTGAAGCTAGATAAATCAGTGAAGTTAGAGAAGAGAATTCAAGAAGATTTATAATATCATTTTATTGTGGTGATGATACAATATAAGTATATCAAACATCTGAAAGGAATAGTGGAATTTGGGTATATTTATATGATTATTTTAAAAGGGTGGCAAATTTTAAGAGAGATCCAGATAAAAGAATCCATTAACTAATGATTATTATACTGAAAAGGTATTTATTTTAAGCTTTAATTTAAGGATTTCTAATTGGGTGGTATTGTTTAATTTAATGTTTACAAATTCTAATTGATGAGAGCAGATGAATTCACAATTAATTACATGAAACAAAAATCAGACGTTTTCAAAGAGGCTGACATTTCTTAAATCATAGCTAAATTAAGATTATTTGCAGATGGATATCCAAATTTTGATAGTTTCTTGTTGGATTTGATGAAGTATTATATGTTATTAATATAAATAGGAAATTGGATAAATAACTTAAAGGATACATTGATTTTGAAGAATTATCTGAAGGATTATAGGAATTAGGATTTAATTTAACTTTGTAAGAGCAATATTTCTTGATGAGAGAATTTGATAGAAATGGAGAATGGAAATTATGTATGCAATCATTATGGGAAGCATTGGGAGGCAAAAGAGCTTGATTGATTTATTATATAAACAGATACATTTATTACATAAAACAAAAAAATAATGATCAAAAAGAGAAGTTCATTGAATATAATGGAGTTTGCAACAAGACCACCTTCTAATTGTATTAACCCTGTAAATTATATTATTATTTGATAGGATTCATAATCTCCATTAAAATTTATAAGGAAACTAACAAGGTAAGCTTCAACAGTGAATGGATCATCATTTAAAATTTAGACTTGCATATAATCTGTTCCAAATAAAACTTAGGATGTGATCCAATAATGCATAGAAATTGTTGATTAAATCAGATAATAACATCAGGAAAGGTAGGGTAGTAGATTTTTTCATGTCCGTTCATGTTCTATGCCTTGTGACAGAGTTTCGATAATCAATTAGTTGATTGAGACAATTTTGCCTTAATCTCCAAGAAAACCACAAAGATCATTAGAGTAGGATTATATATATTTAATATTAGAGGAGAGATTCAATCTGTGATGAATTAGTTAATAGAGGAGAAGTAATATAAATAAAGGGCAATTGATTAGAGGGATAGTTTAGCAAAAAGATAAGATTATTCGATATAATAATTAGTAAGATTTTATAGATATACTTTAAGAAATCTCGAATTGAGCAATATTAAAAGATAAATTGAGTATATTAAAATATCATGAATCTCAAAAATGGTTTATTATTATTTATGTCTTATAATTAAAAATATGATGTCAAAATATAATTGCAATATAATATTCCATATATTTAATTATTTAAATGACGACTTGATTATATCTAAAAATAATAAAAGTGAAACATTATTCACTTAGTAGTATTATTAGTTTGGAATATGATTCATAATATTAATATAAATTATATTTATTAACATGGGGAATATGTGTTATAGAGATTATGATGAAGAGAAATTATTAGGAGGATAAGAAATAAAGAAACCAGAATCTGTATAAGGATCAATAATGAAACCAAAACGTAAATTAATTTTATGATTATGGAGCTAGTGGAGATGGTTAGACAAGCGAAGTAGTAAATTAGAATTAAACTGAAATGACAGATGATCCTGAATTGTAAGTGGAAAAGGATGAATTTTATAAATTATCTAATGTATTAAATTACTTTAAGAATTTAAGGAAAATACAAGATAATTAGATATAGCATCTAAAGCATAGGAGAGTGAAGGGTAGGGTTAATAAACTTAAAAAGTTAACATTGATAGTTTTAGATTATTGAAAGTCTTGGGTAAGGGATCATTTGGAAAAGTTATGTTAGTGCAATATAAATCTAATTGTATAAAATATATTAAGGATAGCAAAATATTACGCAATGAAAGTTTTATAAAAAAAGAATATCAAGAATGAAAGATAAAAACGTCATACTGAGACAGAGAGAATCATATTAGCTACATGTTCTAGTATCTTTTTAGTAAGATTGAGATATGCATTTTAATCATAATATAAATTGTATCTTGTTGTAGATTATATGCCAGGTGGAGAACTATTTTATCATTTAAGAAAAGTAGGAAGATTCAAGGAAGATGTAGCTAAGTTTTATGCAGCCGAAATATTATTAGGATTATAATATTTACATGAAAATCATATAATATATAGAGATCTTAAACCTGAAAACATTTTACTTGATGAAAATGGTCATATAAAATTGACTGATTTTGGTCTTTCTAAAATTATGATGGAAGAAGATGAAACTGCTTTTAGTTTATGTGGTACTCCTGAATATTTAGCACCTGAGATTTTAACAACAAGTATTAATTATTCTTATTTAAAAAAGAAACTGGTTATGATAAAACTTGTGATTGGTGGAGTTTTGGAGCTTTATTATATGAGATGTTAGTAGGAGCACCACCTCATTACAAAGAAAATAAAAAGGAAATGATTCGAAGAATATTGACATAACCAATACCATATCCATCATATTTATCCGAAAATGCTCGATCTTTATTGGAGTAATTATTGGTTGTTGATGTAAATTATATATGATTATATTAATTTAGCCAAAAAAACGTTTGGGATATGAAAATGATGGATATGATATAATGAAACATGATTTCTTTATTGGTATTGATATGGCTGAAATTATATAGCATAGAGTATTCATTTCTCATTTATACTTAGATCCAACCACCTTATAAATTCGATAAAAAAGAGTTAAAGTATTTTGATGAAGGAATGACTAAATAAATTGCTAAAGACACTCCAGTCAATGGTACCTTGTTACCAAATTAAAATTTTTCTAATTTCACATATCAACCTAGTATGCAATAAGGTGCTAATATGAAAAAGTGAAACAAAGAAGGAATATTATATTTATTATCAAACCCATTAAATAAATTAATCAATTTTAGTTTATCAATGATAGCACGCTTGTCTACAACATTCTTAAAAAACATGAGACAAGCAATTTGCATTGTCCCAGATACCGAAATCACCTTAAATGATAAAGTATTCTATTTTGAATAAGTAATACTAAACTTAATTATTTAGAATAAAGTTTAATCAATACCTATTAAGTAGCTTCTTAAAGAATATTTATTATTGGAAAGTGAATAGATTGAGGATGCTAGTAAAGTGGAATAGGATTCTAAAGAAAACTTAGAATAATAAGAAGAATATTCTGATGATGAAAATAATGGAGATGATTAGGGACCTTCTGGTGGAAGAATGATGCCTGTAATTGAACTAATTAAAGGATTTATTCCTAGATATGTTGGTGCAATTTGAGCATTTTAAATTCAAAAATTACACGCAATTATATAATTAAAATTCAATTATATATATAAATATTAGAATAAATTATTATTAATCCATCATATGACTTAATTATTTAGTTAATTTTAATTGGTAGAATATTTGGAGAATTTTGAATCATCTACTTTTTTTTAGATTTATTTATGTTATATAAACCTGTATAAATGTATTATTATTATATTATGCTTAAGTCATAAATTAGTTGATTACAATAATATTTAATAATAAATGAAGATATTTTCTATATTTAGATTAATAGATTGTATATTATTTTGAATAGAACAATTAAATATAAAAATATTAATTGATATGATTAGTGAAGATAAAATAATTAAATAAAGAAGAAGATCTCATTAAAAGTATGAATTAGGGAGACTTCAAAAAAGTGAATTGATATATGTTGATCATTATACATCTGATGAATTATATGAAAAATAAAAAACTTAAGGTGTTAGCCCAGTCAACTATAAAATTAATAATCGATAATAATTTGCATTACCAAAAATTTAACATTCTCCAAATATTAAAACAAATAAATATATAGGAGAATATAATAATATGTTAGGGATTATAACTAGTAAACATTAGATTCCACATCGAAATAATAGCTCAAATAGAAATGCCTGTTACAATCATAATCATGATAAATTTATAGAGAGATAAAACTTTGTAATCAATTAATTTTTTAGGCCAAGGAAACTGGGATCTTGTAGATGACAATATATTAAATTCTTATTTTTTTTCTTACAAGTTGAATTTAATAATTAATGTAGTAAATATCATTTTTTTTTAATCACTAATTCTGATCTTTTAACTGCTCTTAAATATGTATATTAAAGAGCAACTTCTTACTTTTTAGAGAGTTTATCATTCTATTTTTAATAATAATTTTTTTATGGAACATTTTTATTATTTTAATCTAATACACTTCTCTAATCTTTCTATGAAGAACGACAAGGATTAGGTTATTCAATTTTATAATCATGTCTATGTTTAATTGTATCAACATAAAACCAATTAACATCAGATGGAAGTGTTTTTTCTTTATTATAATTGAGATTCACTTCATAAATATCATTCTAATCTACATGTGAACTCTTATTATCCATTATTCTTCTTTTTTAAGGAGATACTGTCTCAGATTATTATTATTATTTTATAGGTGATCTAGTAATTTTTATTTCCTATCCATAAATATCTGATATCTTTCTACTAAGAGGATCCCTTATATTTTCCTTAGGTTAAAATGTACTTAAACTCTTTCTTAAATCTCTCTTCTAATATGAATTATCTTATGGATAGAAATGCTCATTTGAATGATCTGGGATTTTGTGTCTGTTAGGAGTTTTATTCAAAGGAGTACTCTTAACAATACATGAACTTTGAATATGATCATGTGCTGTGAATGTTCTTTTCCCTCTATTTTAAATTTTACTAACAGCATTCCCTGTAATGGGATTGTTTTTTATGAACGATTACATAATATTAATTCTAATATTCTTATTATTTATACTAATTTATGATATCACTAATTTAAACAGAAGAATAGGTAACTAAATCAATTATATTTATAAGATTCAATAACAATAAACATAATCATAATAAAAGAACAAAATAACTAAATAAATAAACAAATCTGTAAAATGGTAAGAGGATATAATTGATAATGAAAATACAGGTAAATTAAAATTTAATGGTAATAATTACTTTAACAATTAGTTTGTAGAGCAAAATTTATTCACTAATTAGAAATAGATGATAAATCTGATACATGTACAAGTGATGATGAATCAAATGCTCTAGAAAGAGATAAAAAGTCAAAGTAGAAACATAAATTAAAATGTTCTAAACTTAACTTAAAGGATAAATCATGAGAAATTATAAAAAATTAATCATACTTTATATTCTTTGTTATGATGTTCATCATAATTATCAAACAATAATTAAAATTAATATGAAATTAATAATTGAATCAACAAAATTGAAAGCATTGAAATAAATTATGAATTATCATCATATTATAGTTAAACCCTCTTATGAACTATTAGAAATTGTTTAAGAAAATATTATTATATATCCTCCTGATTATATAATTATTAACTAGAATTTCATTATTTTTTGTATATTAAATAATTAATATAAATATCTTTCCTGAATTAACCTAATAAAGAGTGAATTAAACATCAAGAAAAATAAGACGATTGTTTAATATCTATATTAGTTTGAAGATGAATATATTTCATTTAATATCATAAAAAATAAAAAAAATAACTATTTGATAAAGTAGGGGGTAGTTAATTAAATTAAGAATATTAATGTGTTTAAAGATATCAATTAGATTAATCAATCAAAATATAATAAACATTGTACAGTTTATTTAAATCAAAATTTATCCAAAACAGAATATCTGATTGTGATGTTTATTTTTAATAACTCTTTTTAAATAGCAATAGATTAGCCCTTTATACATATATATTTATTTTAATATTTCAATATAAAATAGAATAAATATATAATTTATTTGATTTTTATTATGTTATGTAATATTATATTGTTTTAAGTATTTATTAGAGGGTTTCTTGTGTGTTTAATCTATTTTTGAAAGAGTTTTACCATTTATTAAATAGATTTTTATTTTATTTATATTCTATAAGAAAATCATTATATTTTGTAATATTAATTAAAATGGATGCTTAATTTTAGGTTTCATCTGATAACTTGGAAGTAAATTCAGCTTAAAGAAATACCTCTTCATCCGAAGAATCCGAGAGTATGTTTTAAATAATTAAAAGAGTGAAAAGTATTTAAGTTATTAATAAAAAGTTTATCAAGGCGAAGTCAAATAAAAATAATAAAAACCAATCACTAAGAAGGTAATAAAAAAAAGAGATGTAAAGAAGAGTAATCAATAAATATCAGACAAAATTATAACATCCAATAATTAGGAGATGATTTAAAAATAATAACATAATTCAACCAATAATTTCTATTAGTGTTTTAATGAGTTATTTGGGAATGATGATGAAAATTCATTAACTAATAACAAAGAGAAAAATCAATTAAATTAAAAAATTATATAAGAAAATTTTGAACACAAAATTTAAGTTCAAAATTAGTTTATTCAAATGTAAGTTGAAGAGGATAAGGATAAGGATAAGGATAAGGATAATATTATTTAAGAACAAAAAGAAGAAAAAATATAAGCTAATGAGATTTAATAAAACAAGCTTCTAAATTATCTTAATAATGCAGGATAATTTTAATATCTAAGGAGGGCTTTGTCTAAAGTCAACTAACATTAACCTATATTCTTCTAAAGATTTTTAAATTACCTTTAGATGACATAAGAGGAATATGATAATATAAAATAATCATTTCCAGATATACCTCCTGAATACTTACCATAAGTTATTTTGGAATAGAGACAAATAACTAAAGTATTTAAAAAAAAACAACCTTAAAAATAAATGCTTTAATATTAATAATAATAATAGAATAATTAATTCTTATGGAATTAATAACAGTAATAATAATAATAATAATAATAATAATAATAATAATAATAATAATAATAATAATAATAATAATAGTAATAATAATAATAATAATAAAATAATTATATAAATCAAAATGAAATCTAATAATAAGAACAATAATAATTAAATTATATTGAGACTGAATTTAAGTTTAATCCTAATTTATCAGAGTGTAATTTAGAATGTGCTATTTGTGCTTAAACATACTTGAATGGAGATAAATTGGCAATATTACTTTGTATCCATAGATTTCATTTAACTTGCTTTACTAGTTGGTTGAAAAAGTCTACATAATGTCCTATTTGCTATCATGGTTGATTTGTTTTATTAATTATAAAATAAAATGCATTTTTCTCAATTATTTTCTATTAATCTCTTTATTTATATCAATTTAACATAAATTTGAAATCGAGAAAAGGATATATTTAATTATTCATATGAGTTATGAAAATATTAAATAAGTCTTATTAATAGTGAAAGTGTAATAATGAAATTTTTAATAAAAATCAAAAGTTTTTGAGAATTTTAATAAACATAGCTAAATTTCGATTTTAACATTAACGTTTTTATTGATATTTTAGTTATCAATTTAAAAAGAGAATGTATTGTTTACTTTAATAAAAAACGAATAGTTTATAATCATAATATAAAATTTTATTCTAATTTTTAAGTAAAATCATTTAATGTGTAAAATTGATAATAATAATAAATTTTTTCTATTAATATTGTAAGTAAGTAATAATTAGTAATTTTGAGGAAATATTTTCTAAATTTTTATAAAAATAAGATGATTATTTTTTTATTTATTTATAAATGAAATAGAGCATCGATCCTAGCGATAGTGCTAATTAAATTACTTAACTTTGTCTAGTTTACTCTCCGGAACCATAAACAAAGACATTACTTAGTCCTAAGGATTTTCGAATTAGGAAACCAGCTCCTTTAGTTCTAAAACCTATGTTATGTGATTAATAAGAAGACTCTTAAAAGGCAGTTGGATGTGAATACAATTTCAAAGATTTGAGATTAGGTAAGAAGATAGGTAGTGGAGCATTTGGAGATGTTTTTGTAGGATTCATTTAAGGTAAATTTATTGCTGTAAAATAAATGGATGGAAAGTAATTAATAGAATCAGTGGATAATGAAATTATAATTCTGTCAAAATTGACTCATAAAAACATAGTGTAATATTATGGTTATATGAGAGAAGCAGGAATATTAAATGTTTATTTAGAATATATGGATGGTAATAAGAATATAGAATAAAATAGGGGGCAGTTTGTCTGATAGATTAAAATAGTTTGGAAAGTTTAATGAAACTTTGATAAGAAAATTTACAATTCAAATTTTGGATGGATTAATTTATTTGCATCGTCAGGCAGTTGTACATAGAGATTTAAAATGTGGAAATATTCTTTCAAATTAAAGAGGATAAATAAAGATAGCTGATTTTGGATCATCATCATGGAAAGAAGCAATTAATTTATCTGATACTGAATTTTGTTAATCAATGAAAGGGTATTATATTTTATTTAGATAAAAGGTCTTTCAAATGGATGGCTCCAGAACTATTATTGAAAGAAAAGAAATATGGTAGAAGAGTTGATGTATGGAGTTTAGGATGTGTAATAATAGAGATGGCAACAGCAGAACATCCATGGTAAATACAAATTTTGTAATAAGATTAGGCCAAATATAAAATCATTAGCTTAATTGTTAGAGGCTATATAAAATTTGAAATGTCCACCAATACCCACTCATCTCTCGAAAGAATGTTAAAACTTTATCAAAAGATGTTGTACTTATAATAAAGATTAAAGACCACATGCTGAAATATTAAAAGAAGATCCTTGGATAAAAAAAGAAATTTGAATATTTTCTAATGATAACTTAAATTCTCATTATAAATTCGTATAATAATGAGAAAAGGTTTATCTAAATTTTACATAAATATTCAGAAGAAAGTCTTGTATTTATGGAAAATTTATATAAATTTAAATAATGTAATAATAAGTGGAACCAACATTAAAGAATGTTCTAGAGAATCCATCTTTGAAATGGATATTTGTAGGAGGTAAAGGAGGTGTAGGAAAAACAACTACTTCTAGTTCTTTAGCAACATTATTTGCAAAAAATGGAAAGAAAGTATGATTAAGAATTTAATATAGACAATAATAATATCAACTGATCCAGCTCATAATTTGAGTGATTGTTTTGATTAAAAGATAGGTGGTCAACCAACTTAAATTAAAGGAATAGAAAATTTAAGTGCAATGGAAATTGATCCTACTGTAGATCCAGATAAACTAAAATTACCAACTCTTTAAGGATTTATGAATGATTAAGCTACAAAATCTTTGTTATCTGAATTAATTAGTTCAGTACCAGGTATTGATGAAGCCATGAGTTTTGCTGAATTGATGAAGTAATAATCTATTATTAAATATTAATATAGTTCTGTTGATGAGATGAAATATGATTTAATTATATTTGATACAGCACCTACTGGACATACATTGAGATTACTTAATTTTCCTAATATTATGGAAAAGGGATTGAATAAGTTAGTTTAATTGAGATATAATTTCTAAAATTTAGCTTCTTAATTTTAAGGATTATTTGGATCATAAGAAGAATTTGATTAATAAATGAATCAAATGTTTAGTAAAATTGAGACAATGAAAGATACTGTAACTAAAGTGAATGCATAAATGAAGGATAGAGTATATATTAATTTATATAAATAAGAATAAAACAACATTTATTGGTGTTTGTATTCCAGAGTTTTTATCTATGTATGAAACTGAAAGACTTGTTTAAGAATTAACTAAATTTAAAATAGATATTCATAACATAGTTATTAATTAAGTACTCTTTCCAGGTATTAATAATATATATATATATATTTAGATGATTAATGTAAAATGTGTAATGCTAGAGCTAAA